TAAGTTATATATATATATATATATATATATATATATATATAAATATTATATATTATACCTTGCTTACGCACGCCACCTATCGTTGCAGGGCTGAACGACGACGCCTATCACGTTGTACAGCTGGTGAAGGAGGAGGATACCGGGGAGGTGACGGTGACTGTGGACACAGTGACCGCTGTTCTCACGCCCAAGGTCAAATACGTGGCCGTAGACACGCAGAACCGACTACCGGTCACCGTTTACATGGGAGGTGAGAGTTATAGGCTGTTAGTATATGATGTAGAAATGTTAGCACCAAGTCCAAGAGGTTAGGATTATGGTTTGGGTTAGTGTTACACGGTAAGTTGGGTTATAACATTAAGACTAAGCCTGGCTATAGCTCTCTGACTCTTACTTCAAGCCCCAACCCTAATACCAACAATAACCGTAGCCCCAAACCTGATTCTAACGCTAACCTTAATCCTAATTCTGACCCCAACCGTAACACGGACCCTAACCCTAACGCTAGACATAACTGAGTTCTAACTCCACGTTGAGAGATGTGTGAGCCTATACGCACACTTTCTGCGCGCTCGTCACGCCCTCTCGTGTCTCGATGCGCAGGCTTTCCGTCGGCAGTCGCCGGTGTTCTGGGATCGGACCACGTCCAGTACATCGGCTGCATGTCGGACATACAGTTCCAAGGCGACGCTCTAAAGCCGACGTCATCGGACATGCTGCAGGACGGATGCGTCAACCAATGCGACGTCGCCAACAGGTGACGTCATCGTGAACTTTATTTTTTTCATTCGTTGATAGGCAATACGTATATATCCTATGATACACATCCGCTCAGGGTGTGTAGGTATTTGTTGATCAGGACCCTTATGCGACATGCGTACTCTGTATTTGCATTATTTTTCGCATTATTATCTCTCCCAATATTCATTATTTATCTATCGCCAATGAAGTGTTGATCGCATTCGGGATCATGCGTGAACTCGTGTTTAAATGGATGGTTCGGTCATGCTGGTACTGCTGGTGAGTCATGCTCTTTGCGCTTAATCGTGCAAACAGTGTGTACGTAACCGTGCCATCAATCATTGAGCGTTTGAGTAACAACAGGGCGAGACTAAAAAAACTCTCGTCACATCGATTTTACTACGTGCCAGACATTCATTTGTCTTGTCAACATGCATGATCTAACGTGATCGTACTTTGTCTTGCCATTGCTAACTCTTTATAGAATGTTCTTAAGGACGTCACGAGTTTTTCGCCCGCTGCCTTGATAGGTGACAATGATCTGTCGTTAATAATATCGCGAATGATATATACAGATTGATGAATGATACAGATTGTACTTCAGAGACGAGAAAACTCTCGTTACATCCATTTACTACGTGCAACACATTCATTTGCCAGATGTTACTTCATCAGCAAAAAAAAAATTAATCTAAATATTGATGAATATAATTTTTATCAATTTTTAACTTTTTAACTTTTTTAAATTTTTGTTTCAGCCAGAACCACCTCCCAGACGTGCTGATTCTGAAAATATCTTTAGTTTTTCTCTATGCTGCGGAGTTCTTTAGTTATGCGAGTACGGACTAATTCTGCTGAACAACCTTATATATATATAGATATCATCCTAATATATTATTGTTTTTATTTATGGAAATCCGTCTAGGTGTGTGAAGGGAACGTGTATAAACCTCTATACGAACACTACATGCGACTGCTTCGGAACTGATTTTGAGGGCGCCCTCTGTGACAATCCGAGTAAGCAATTCTCGCCACGTCATCATAATATGTGATCAGCTACATCATCATTTCATGTCGACTACGTCATCACTTTGTGTCGACCACGTCATCACTTTAAGTTGAAGATAATTAGACCGTCATGAACGCAACACTTTATCATTAACATTATTATTTGGGTATCATCAGGTGATTGATTCTATCGATTATTGATCTGGTAGTCGTGATTGTTTCGTTAACGTATGTCGTCTGCTTGCTCGCAGCGGCGACAGAAATGACGTTGCAAGGTTACGGCGAATACTTCAGCTACCGCCTGTACTCGGACGCAGACAAGGTTCATACGATGTCCAACCGCATCAGTGTCACGTTCAAGGTAATGACGTGTACAAACGTGGCGCTCAAACACAGACGATCACGCCTCGATCGTCTCTCTACCGCCTTTCCTCCTTTTTTTCTCTCTCTCTTTCTCTGTCTGTCTGTCTATCTGTTGGTCTGTCTCTATCTCTCGCTCCCCCACTCTTTACCCCTTTCTCTCTCTCCCTCCCTCTCTCTCTCTCTCTCTCTCTCTCTCTCTCTCTCTCTCTCTCTCTCTTTCTCTCTCTTTCCTCCCCTTTCTCTC